GCCGCATCGGTCTGCGAGCAGCGAAGGGGGGTCAGCGTGTTCAGCATGAACATCGGGCTGTTGCCATCACCGCAATAGTTCATAATGTTCGCTGAGTTTTCCATGGAAAAATTTAACCGTGGAGAGAAGGTGTCAATCAGCGATGACGAATTCAATTGGTGGTTACATGCAAACCCTAAAATATACATTTTATATAAAATCTGCGTTAAAAACAAGTAAAAACAAGACGACGAACATAAGCATATGCTGACACTCTAAATGCCAGTACCGATGCAAACGTATGTTCGCCAACGTCTGATGTCGCAATCCAAAAGACAAGCATTTATATGCACTGCAAGTGAGGCACAGGCGTGTAGAACCCTTTAGAAGCTATGAGTAATCGACAAGTGACACAAAACAAGTCGTGTGAGACTTCTAGCGCTGAGAAGTAGAACAAACACAGGGTCCACGTCGAGGATAAGGAAGCAAGAAAAACTGTTGTTTGCATGAGGATATTTTTAAGCCAATTCGATCGATATTAATGACAACCAGTACTGATAGCAAATCTACCATACCAAACAACTTAAGAATTCTGCAGGCACAGGATTTACTTTCGCTTTTCTTCATAGTATACATAAATGTGAGCAAAGTTATCTCCCTGAACGACTGCATGAAATATGCTGACGACCGACAGCTCTCCTGTTTGTATCGCACATCGATAGAATAGTGAGGCTCAGCCAAGGAGACAGGTGTATCGATGTAGGAGATGTGGAGTCGAGAAGGCTGCGATTTGCATATTACCTTGTTCTATTGGCAACTTCTGAAATTGAGCTCCTGCAAGAGTGTAGTGCACGTTCCAGGCATGCGTATCCAAAACGAAAAGCCTAGTGTTTTCCCGTTCTCTTGCCCGTTGCTATCTTCAGATGAATGGAGAACATCAAACAGTGGAATCAGGTGAAGAAATTTATGAACCTCGCGATCATGTTTACTGGTTACAGAAAATTTCAGGAAGAGATCTACTAACCAACTGGAATGGCTAACAATGTTCTTTGTTAACTGACTCGAATCATTGTGACTAAGGTAGTACTGAGTACGAAGAGTAAGCTGACTGTGTTCAGGTGGTTCTTCATCATCATGGCCACTTGTGGCCAACACTGAAAAGCTGTGACCCGAATAGGAGTGACAAAAATGGTTTTCTGAGACGAATCCTGGGTTCATGCCTCTCGCTCGATGACATGGATAGGAGTAAACATACCTGAGGAAGCGTCTATATACAGCAGCTGCTTCTCCAGACTGAGCAGTCACAGGTGTGATGGTTTGGGCAGGTCTTGTGAATTCTTTCAAAAATGAACGTGAAACAACTTGTATTTGCCAAGCCTACAGGCCAAAAATACCAAGGACGGCCAAAATAACTCAGTCAAGAGTATGCATGAAGCACGCTTCAGAATCAGGTTATTTTCTTCCAAAGAAAAAATAAACGCTGCACAGGATCAGGAACGTTGGAGACATTATCCGATGCGTCTGCGTCAGCGATATGAAAGGATAAACGGTACGGAAAAGTGGCAGGCTGACTGAATATGCCGAAGACACCTTGGCATTGTACGCAAATACTTCAGCAGATGATCTTAAAAAGTTTTTTCGCGCCGCCAATGCTGGTGAGAAAAAATATGGCTTACTCATTAATCATCGGAAAAGTAGTAAACACTTATTAAAGCATAAACTCATATTTCTATACCAGATTAAACAGTTGCATCGTCCTCCACGTATCACTGTATATCCAAATACAGATATCATAAAAACTACCTTCGGGTTACCATAGACGAAAGTCGACACATCAAAGCATCTAAGTTAATTACAATCCAAAATAGTATTCAGGAAATTGTTTTCAAAAACTAGATTACTTCCTCAAATAACAAATGCATCGCTAATGTACTTCTACCCTTGCAATGCGGCCCAGCGAAAACTTCGATCACTTGCACAAACTGCTAGCAGAGCAGGTCGGCTGTTCGTCAAGACAGATCAGATCGTAACAT